TAGGTGGCACAGTGGACAGAGCACCAGCCCTGGATTCAGGAAGACCTGAATTCAAATCTGGCCTCAGACACATAACACTTACTAGCTGTGTGACCCTGGGCAAGTCACTTAACCCCATTGCCTAGCCAAAAAAAACCAAAAAGCAAAAACCAACAACAACAAACAACCAAAAACAGAAACTAAAGATAAGTGAGGTCAAGTGACTTGCTCAGTCACATGGATAGTAAGTGCCAGAGGCCAGATTTGAATTCAGATCTTTCTGCCTCGGAGTCTAGCACTCTAAGTACTGCACCACAGAGCTGCCTCACTACCCTGGCCAAACCTCAAACACATGAATCCTTCAACAAACATGGGTGCTAACACCAATGATCTCAGTGCTGCTTTATCTTCCAAGTGGTGGCCTGGGGCCACCAGTGTAATTGGGATGCTGAGCTAGCGGGGCAAGGCTAGATGACTCTGAGAAGCACAAGGCCGACTGATCCTGAGCCAGAACAGATGAGAGAAAAGCGATCCCAGATGGAGGGTGGGAGACTGGAGTAAAGGCACCCACAAATCGTAGAGAACGAGTCCCACTTGTTTTCCATGGGTCACCGACTTCCTCATTTATTGTGTGTTGACTGAGAAAGAGCATAATTGCCAATTTGTCTTAGTCTCACTCTGGGGCGTCTATTATTCTCAGTCAATGGTAGAGTTTTAGTTCATTGTGGGAATCAGTTACAAGGCCACTGCTGTCCCTTTCACTAGAGATGGATGGATTTGCAGAAGAGAGGGGCAGTCCCAGCACATGTGATTGTAATCAAAACTACAGCCTCATCCAGGAACTGCTCTGTGTCCATAAGGGGCACGTAAGGAAACCCCACATCTCAGGCCGCAAGACCAAAAGAGGAATTCCAAAATAAGTTTGTTTTATAGAGAAAGTCTGCAGTCACCCGGCCTCAGGATCATGGTGAAGTTCACCAGAAAACCTGACTGTGAAGGCATAACCAGTGACAATAAAGCAGCTACCCAAAAAGCAGACAAATCACTAAGGAGTCTGACAACTCCCTGACATTTCCAAGTTGAATGCCCTGCTGACACCTTGGAAGCCTTTGGAGATCACTAACAAATGAAAAGGCCTCATGTTCCACCCCTGAGATTGCAGGAGCTGGCTCTCTCCACCCGACGGTGAGTTCCTTAAGAGCAGGGACTTTTCTGCTTTCTTTGTATCCTCAGCCTTAAGGCCAGTTCCTGGCACCTAGCAGGAGCTTAATGAATGCTCGTCGACTGATTGACTATAGACAGCTTTGCTTGTGAACTACACTGTGGTTACCCACAGAAACAAGTTACTTCGTACTTTCTTACTAGCCAGTGCTACCATTTCTTGGCCTCCATCCCTCAATCACTTTGAAGCCACTGAAGCATCAATTCTAAGAGTCATGAAGGCTTGCCTCCCTTGAGCCCTCCCATCACGCTCCAGGCAAGCACCATCTGCAGCCACTTACATCTCCTCAGGGCCTGACTTGTCCCCGCCTGGCACTTTCCAGGTCTGGACAATGGTAACCTACTTGGACCCACTCATCAGTGATTAACATCCTTCCACCCCCATCATACTCACACCAGCCTAGTGATTCTGAATGCCTGGTTGCTACCCAGTTCAAACACTGTTCTACGTATTCCACTGACTGCTCCCTAATTCCCAAGCCCAATCTCCTTCTCTAAAGCCACTTAACCCCTCCATTGAGCTCTATGGGATGCCATCTTGGTTTTGGACAGCTCTATCTGATTTATATCAAGCAAAACTCTGCATTGCTATCACTTCCCCCATGTTCCAAGCTTTGCCCTCAGGGTCCAAATAAGCTCCATTGAGCTCTACTCCTCTTGCACGTGACAAACTCGCTGGAGCCCTGGCTCCAACTCCTGCCCCTGCCACTGACTGCCTGGGTCACTTTGGGTAAGTCACTTCAGCCTTCCAGACTCCAGCTTCTCTCCTCTCCACGTCACCCTTCACGCAGCAGCCAAACTGATCTTCTTAAAGCACAGGTGGAGCTGGGCCAAACCTCTGCTCAGGAAGAGTCAGTGGCTTCCTTCAGCCTCTAGCATAAAACACAAGATCATTGTACGCTTGAGATTCAAAGAACTCCACAATCCTGCTGTACGCTTACCTCTGAGGCTGTCTATACGTTATGCCCACTTGGACATGTTATGGTCGAGCCAAACTGACCTCCCTGTTGCTCTTCCTATACGGCCTTGCATCTCCCACCTCAGCGTCTTTGCATAGGCTGTGCTCTATTCCTGGAATGCTCTCTCTCCCCTTCCCAGTTCTGCCTCCTGGAACCTCAGACTCCGTTCAAGGTTAAGCTCAACCTTCACTTCCTTCAAGAGGCCTTTCCTTATTCCCCTCCTTGTTATCGTACTTCCTTCCCCCAACAAACAAAAAAATAAAAAAGCCAAACCCCTCAACACTATGTATTTTATTTATATAGGTATACGTATGTATTTTTTATATTTACCTACCTGTGAATATGCTGCATCCTTTCAGATGGGTGTAAGCTCTCAGAGGACAGGGACGGTTTCCCTATTAATCTTTGTATCTATCCCCAGTGTCCACCACAGTGCCCAGCACATAGTAGGCACTTTAAAAATGCTTTTTGATTAATAGTCAAATGTCATTCTCTCCCCCCCTTCTCTGTCTCTGTCACTCTTCCTTTCCCTTCCTTTTTCTCTCCCCCACCCCCACCTGCTCTCCCTTTCACTATGTCTCGATCTCTCTCTCCCACCCTCTTTCTCTTTGCCTCTGTCTATCTCTCTCTCCTCCCCATCCCCACACCTGTGTTCACCTGTGGACCTGTAGACTTCTAAATTTTGCCTTTGGCCATCCTGCAATGATGACAGGCCCACAGGCCTTCCTTCTCGGCCCCTTACCAACAAAACTGATCCCTCGTCATGGAGGGAGGATGGAAAATCGCCTACCCCTTTCCTGGCAGGCTTCACATCCAAACCTGCCCCCCAACAATGGAGACAGCTTGGGGGGACAGAACAAAGAGAAATCCATGGAGTAGTTGGCTACACTTCTGGAAGCCAGGGATCACATGACTTATTATCTCAATGGCAATGCTGCTGGACTCACTACCAATTAGGACAGTTTGGGGAGAGAGAGAAGCACTTTTATTGCTAGAGAAGTTTCTTTTCTCCTTTATTTTTTTAGAAAAGCACAAACAAAACAAAAGATTCGGATCTATATAATTTGCTAGATATTAATGATATGGTCAAGTCAAATCAGTTAGCATTTATTAAGCACCTACTATGTGCCAGGCACTGTGCTAAGCACTGATAAAGTACAGTATTCACAGAACACTGGAGCTGGAAGGGGTCTGAGAGGTTATCTAGTTCATTTATACATTTTACACATGAGGAAATGTAGGCCCAGTGGGAGATGTGACTTGCTCAATGTCCCACAATGGGTGGCTTCAGAGCAGATGTCACATTGGCTGCCATGATCCAGGACATGATGTTCAGACCATAAAGAAGACCATTACGGATACGGAATAAAGAATAAATAGCTAGAAAGTGACTCATACATTCATTTCACTGATTTACCTACTTCTAAGCAGGATTAGATCCAATTAATTCCAGACAGATATCTATATATTCCATGTACTCAGTCATTTACTCATTCATTCATTCATTCATTCATTCATTCATTCATTCACAGTATTGTTGAATATAAGGTTAGAAACTTAGGAATCATCTAGTCTCACTCCTGTATTTCCCAGCTGTGGTCCAGAAAGTAAAGTCCTTTGTGACCTTGTATAAGATCACGCTCAGGCAATAAGGGCAATGAATATTTATTGAATACCTACTATGTGCAGAGAATTCTGTTATGCACTGTGGTGCTGCTGCTGCTGGTGGAGATGAAGGCTAGGTTTATAAAGATGAATGAGACACCATCTCTTGTTCTCAAAAAGTTTGTAACCTAGTTAGGGAAACATTGCTGGAAAAGGGAGTAGGGTGGGGTGGGTATTACCTATACTTGGATTTAACAGTCAAATATTAAATTATTTGCAGAGGTCCCTTCTATTGTTCATGCTTAATAATATACTCCTATATAATAGCAGAAATAAGGCCTGGCATAGTCTGAAAGCCATAACAAAGCTATGTTCTATGATATAGCTTCAGGAACTGACCTCCACCTAACCTGCAGGAAACATGTGGGAGTTGGACAAGCCCCCCGATACCGAGTGGATTTGGCAGCAAGCCTAAAGCAGCCGAGGAATACGCGTTAGCTAGGGATGGGGGGAGAATGGCCTTCATCAGAACGAGGATCAGAGAATGCCTTCGTGTAATCTATCAGATTTGAAAGGCAAGAGAGAATCTCAATAAATACTTCCAAGTCTTTCCCTCTCAGCAAGGATGCAGAAGTGGACATTGTGAAAGCACAAGCCCTTAGAAGAACTCAAGGAGCCTTCTCCTCTTGTCTCCATCACCACAAGATGACAGAGGAGCAAATCTTCCCAAAGAATAACGCTGAGCAAGCACGGTGCTGAGCCAAAGCCCTTCTGCTGGTTTGAAGGCTGAGCAAAGAAGGTTTCTAGCCAAAGGGACTGTGGCCCATGCTATTTTTCATTCGTCGGCTTCCAGTTCAAGGGGGCTTTTCCCCCTGGCCCCCACCTTATGAAGGGGTTAATATATAATTAAGCCCCTCCCCCACCACACCCTGATGATACTGTAGCTGGGGCTGGACTAGAGCACTTCCCATGGTCCTTCTGGTGATACATGTCTTTTAGTAAGGGGCCAGAGCACCTGTCTTGCCAAAGTGGCCTAAGCATAGGCCCAGCATCATGGAAAGTGCTCTGGTAGGTACCTGGCCTCCCAGAAGGAGGGTAAGAAAGAACCCAGGTCCCTGGGGTTGAGGCCAACCTGCTGGTGCCTACTATTCCTTCCCCCTACATAGCCAACTGTCTCTAGTGCTTCCAGAGGGTCTCACACTCATCTTTCTTTCCCACTCACACTGAAGTTCATACCTGACACACTGTATGTCTTGGGGGATTGGGACATCTTGATTCTCTTTGTGGCTGCTACTGTTGGACATAGGTGATATGGATGCCCACGGGGAGAATGGACAGAAAACTGGCCTGAAAATGAGAAAACAAAAGGCACAATTTCTTCCCTCTCTAGTGGTAATGTTATTATTGCTATTTTTAATTTGTGATATAAATTCACACCACCTTGTGAGTTTTTAAACATGTTAGAAAGATACAGATAGTACATCAAAAGCACTGGGAGGCTCTCGGCGGATGCTTCAGCATCAATTGTTTAAAAAAAAAGCCTTACACATACACACACAAAAGAAGAAGTCATAGAAATCTACCTATTGCTTAAATGGGCCTGGCATGTTGATTCTTTGGTGAAATGTGCTCTTGGTCCAAAGACTGCTGTTAAGAAGTAGGACTAGGCTATGAAGTACTTCGACAATCAGTGTTTTATTTCCATGTACTCTCAAATAGTTCAGGCTAATTTAAGTAAATTTTCCAAATTAAAAAAAAAAAGTCATGTTACTATTTTTCTTGAAATAGACACACCGTGACTTGTTGTGTATTTAAAACATGCCTTCTCCAAATGAGTATTATTACAATTTGACTAAATAAGCAACAGGTCATGGTTGTAATTTTAGGGAGAGCTGGTAAAACAGCTTTAGTATTATGGAATTATAGGAAAGCTTAGAGACCCTCTCTAGGCCAAGCACCTGATTTTATAGACAAGAAAACCGAGGCCCAGAGAGTTTGGCAAAAGAATGTGTCCAAAGGTCATAGTGCGGCTGAGGTGGGACACGACTCCTAAGCCCCTACTTCTCGATTCCCAGACAAGGGTGAGGGGATGGAGTGAGAAGACTATAAAAAGTAACCAAAACATCTGAAATGCAAGGAAATATGTCATTTTTAAAATAAATGATGAAAAGGAAGAGGAAACATTTTGTGCATAGCTAAGAGAGAGGAGTTTGATTCTAAAAGTTCACCTAGAACCTCTGGGAATTGAAGTGATACACACATGGGCATGTTCACATACACATGTGTGCGATGTTGGCATCAAACGACTTAACCAAAGGATGGCTACCAATTACAAGTTGTTTGAAAAGTGTCTTGTACATCCTGTACAGATGGGCATTTCTCTTCTAAAACAGATGGAACCTATTCTAAACGTCCAAAAAAAAAAAAGGTAGAGGCACAATGCCTAAATTAGCCAGTCAATAGGCATTTATTTATTAAGTGCCTACAGTGTGCCAGGTATTGGACTAAGCCCTAGAGTTACAAACAAAGGCAAAAGACAACCTCTGCCCTCGAGGAACATGCCAACATCCCTGCCCCAACAGGCCACACAAAGCTGAGTTGGAGGTGATGAGAGGGTTGTGGTAGCTCCAGGAGACAAGGGAAGGAGGCACAGACTGGAGATGTTACGAAGGTAGAAGGAGCGGGACGTGGCAACTTATTGGACATGGGGGACAGCATGAGAGGGTGCAGAGTGAAGATGACACCTTGGCTTGAGCTGGGTAAATGGGAGGGTGGTATCTCCCTCCACATTAATAAGCAAGCTAGAAAAGTAAAGGGTTCGAGGGGGAAGATAAAGATTCCGGAGAAGAAAATGACAAACCACTCCAGTATCTCTGCCAAGAAATCCCCAAACAGGGTCATCAAGAGCTGGACACAGCTGAAATGGCAGCAACAAAATAACGTGTTTGGCATAAGATACTTGTAAGGAGATTGACAAGTTACCAGTGGCCAGACCTCTCAGCCATGGGAGGCTCTGGGAACAGTCTTGCTCTAGGGAAAAAATAAACCCAAAGGTGATTCTGCAAACCTGACCCACTTGGATAGTAAAATGCAGGCCCAAAGCTGTGACCTCTGTGTGACCGACAGATTTTTTTCCAGCTCCTTCTCCCCTCTGATCCTGGAAAGATTTCAGAAATCCAGACACTCTTTATGCTTAGCCTCTTCCGTAATGATAAGGCCTTATTAGGAGTTTTATGAGGCATGAGCAGGTGTTTATTGCCAGGTTCCCTACCATTGTTCACATGCACTCAGTCTGGCAACTTTTAAGAAAAAAGCAAAGAATATTAAGTTTCCAAACTCTAAAGAGCAGATACTGATACTGTGCCAGGGAGACTAGAAGAGTGATTACGAGGTGTGCCGCAAATGAGCCGTCATCAGGGGAGCTGGAATATCTTTGTAGATAATGAGCAGTTTCCCTGGCCTCTTCCTGAACCTCCAGCCCCAAACTACTACCCTGGAGTTGACTGCTTCTCTGCCCTGAATAAGCCTCACTGCAACAATGCTCCCACACCCACGGTGCAGGGATGAGACAGGAAACAGCTTCCATGGCTGGACTAGACCCAAGCCAGCACCTAAGCCTCACAAATCCCACCTTTCACTTCCAGGACTAAGCCCAGAACCAGATCCTCCGATAGCAGAACTTTTGACATCAGGACAAGAGCTCCAGATACCATATTTCTTGCCATAAGGCCTAATCTCCCTTCTACCTTAGAATTTCTAAAGGTGACGGATGCCATCCTCTGACATTCACAAGACTCTTGGGGGGTGGGAAGTCCAAATCAAAAGGCTAGAAAAACCACTACTTTTTCCTCCCCTGATCTTAGTGATAGAACAATGGTTGTCTAAACAAAAACCGGGCTCCCTTCCTCTGCTATCATTCCCTGGTCCCTCATCCCAATCTACACCTCACCCTTCACTTTCTCAAGTTCCTGCTCAAGCTTTGCCTTCCATGTGCATTATAAATGACAATTCTAATTTAAATATGTTTCATTTGAGATGTTTATGTGACATCGGGTTTGAAGCTTCTACTAGGCAGCTGATGATGGGGAAGAAAGACTCAGGCTAGCTAGGTCAATATGCAATTCATCTACATAGATGCATCTACATAGATGGGGGCTGATGAGGTTACCAAGTGAGAAAATACAGAGAAAAGGTCACAGGACAGAGCCCTCTCTTATACTTACATTCGTGAGAGTGATGTGAATGACCCAGCACAGGAGGCCAAAGAGTGGTTGAAAGAGTAAAAGAATGGAAAGGGAGAAGGGTCATGAAAACTCAGCCAACAAAGTTTCCAAGACAAGAAGGTGGGCTATCAGCAGTACACATTACAGAGGGGTCAGGAAAAAGGCGGACTGTGAAGAGGTCACGGGGTTGGGAAAGAACCATTTCTTCTGAGTGATGAAGTTGGGAAACAGACTGCAGAAGGTTAAGAAGAGAGGAAAAGGAGAACTGGAGGCCCTAAGTGTAGACGGCAGTCTCAAGGAGTTTGGCTAAGAAAGGGAAGAGAGAAATAAGGCGGCAGCTAGTGGACATGGTTAAGAGCAGGAAACCTTGGGCATCTTTGCAGTCACTAAAGGAACCAGGAGATAGAAAGAAAGTGGAAGTTAGAAGGGGAGGAACGATAGTGAGGAATGATCTGGTAGAGAAGACGGGAAGGAATGGGGTCAAGCCTGCAAGGAGAGTTATTGACCTGAGTGATGAGAAGAGCTAGCTCATTATCAGGGTCCTGGTAAAAGGAGGGAACAGTAGGGGATGAAGGCTGGGCTGATGAGGGCAGGAGGTAAGAAGAAGATGAGAAGGGGGAGTTCTTATGACTAATCTGGAAATGTGTTTTGCATGACTACACATGTATAACCTATATCGAACTGCTTGCCTTCCTCAATAAGGAGGGAAGGGGAGGCAGGAAGGGAGAGAATTTGGAACTCAAAGTTTTAGAAACGAATGTTAAAAATTCCTTTTACGTGTAACTGGGGGAAAATAAAATACTAAATAAATTTTTAAGAAAATTAAATAAAGAAGGGGGAATTCTTGGCAGAAGGGCTGAATGTTCTCCATAAAGTATTAGGTGAGGTCCTCAATTGAGAGGATGGGGAAGGGGGTGCTGTGGGAGATGAGGAGAGAAGATTTGAGACAGCCATTGTGGAGGGTGGGAAAGCAAACCAGTTAGGAAGGAATAAAACGTTGCCTAGATAACCGGATAACATAAATGTGTAGTGGACCCAATGAACATGGTAGTGTGACTTCCTCTAGCTCCATTTAACATATGAGTAGGAGCTTAAGAGGTAGACTGTGGGAGTAATCCAGGGCTGGGGTCTGGCAAGGCATGAGAGATGATAAGACAAAAGAGCGGCATATTATAATGTAGAAAACTGTGTAGAGTTGCACTGAGTGGGAAGGGAGGAGAGTGTAGCTAGAGCAGGCGTGATGTCTGGAAAAGAACCGAGGACTGGTAGTAAAACTGACAAAAAAGGAAAATGGTGAGTTGCACAGGCATCAAGGCAGAGACGCTCAGGCAGCTGATGACGTGGGGTTTGCATTCACCTGGGACATATAAACGAGGGTAGAATTGATACGTGAAACCATAGAAGCAGATGAAATCACCCAGAAAAAGAATATTTTTAAAAGGAAAAAGAAGGCCCAGAAACAAGCTATACCCATACTAAAGGCTGAGGAGATTGAGAGGAGAGGTCAGAGGGATAGGAAGAGGGCCAAGCCGAAGCAATGCCAGGAAAGCCAGGCAAGGAGAGGGCATCTAGGAGGCAGAGGAAGAGGAAGAGGAAGAGGAAGAGGAGGGGGTTGAGAATAACAAAGGCCAAAGAGGAGGTGAGTAGGAGAAAGGGCAGAGGACAGGCCATCAAACGCAGCCGGTCAGAGATTCTGAGTAACCTGGATAACAAAACAACCGAGTTAGAGTCTCTGCTTTTGTAGAGTTGTGCTGGAAAGGAATGACATCTAATGTCAAAGGGCATATGAGGGCTGAAACAAGGACAGAGTGCTGTGGCAAGGCACTGTGAGGGGGGTGAGGGATGGGGAACCCACCAACATTCAATTACTGACACACTGTGGAGGTGCTGGGGACGCAAATCCATCAATGAAACAGTCTCTGACCTCAGGGAGCCTACGTTCTGTGGAGAGACAGACAGCGTTGTGTTGTATGGGAGGCCCACACTGGGATCCCAGAAGCCCAGGAGTTGTGAAGAGCCCCTGAAAGCTGTCTAGGCCTGGCTCTCCCTAGAACAGAAATCTTCTCCACAATCTAACTGATAAAGGGGGATCCATGACCCAGCCTCTACTCAAAGACCTCTGTC